GAGGAGAGGAGAGGAGAGGAGAGGAGAGGAGAGGAGAGGAGAGGAGAACAGACTAGTAAAAACAATGAAATGGTTTTTGGTTAAAAAATTGCCCTGGCTGTTCCAGGCCAGTCAGCTATTACACAGAGAAACCCTGTTTCAAATAAACAAACAAAACAAAACCCTGTTTTTGAGCTAGAGAGATGGTTTAACTGTTTTGTTTTTGTTTGTTTGGTTGGTTGGTTTTTCAAGACATGGTTTCTCTGTAGGTTTGAAGCCTGTAGACTAGTCCAGGCTGGCCTCAAACTCACAGAGATCCTCCTGCCTCTGTCTCCCCTCCGAGTGCTGGGATTAAAGACATGCGCCACCACCACCCAGCGAGATAGCTCAACTGTTAAGAGCACTGGCTGCTCTTCCAGAGAACCGAGATTTCATTTCCAGCACCTACAAGGGGCTTCAGTCTCAGAGGATCTGACATATTCTTCTGTCCTCCATGAGCTCTGCACATACGTGATACACAGACATACATGTAGGCAAACACCCATGCACATAAAATGAAAAGTGAAAGACAAAACAAAACTGTCATCCTTGGTTGGAGATGAACTCAGTTGGTAGAAAGTTTGCCTAGCACTCAGAGCCCAGGTTCAGTCCCAGCAGGGGCATAGACTGGGCTTGGCAGTGCATGCCTGCAACCTTGGCACTGCGGAGGAGCAGAAGTTCAAAGACATCCTCAGCTACATAGCAAGCCTGAGGACAGCTTAGAATATGAGACTGCCTGGAAGAACAAAACCAGCAAACAAAACCAAACAAAATGACAACAAGAACAAGAACTTATTCCTATCACATCCCCGCTTAGCCCAGACCCCTCCCATGATCCCAAGATCTTTCCCACGGTCCAGAACCTAAAGCCATGATGCCAATGTCCCAAAGTGGGCTGCCAGCCCAAAACTAGTGTCCCTTCTGAGCCATGGCTTCCTGCGTCAAGTGCCTGCATGGTGTGGAGTGTCCCTTTTCTGCTCTCTGTCTTTCTTGAGTCCCTCTGTTTCTAACCGAGAGGCTCTCCTGAGCCATGCCTTTGCCCCTGCTTAGGGCTTGGACTTTGTTCCCAGGGGACTGACCTGGATCAGTCTCCTGGTCTCCTGGTCTGGCAGGCCGCTCCAATCAGCACTCTCCTGTCCCCGCCTTACCCTCTGCAGATGTGGACAGCTGTGAGAAGTGGCTGAATTGCAAGAGTGACTTCCTAGCCAAGTACCTGAGCCAAGTGCTCCAGGACCTGCCCAGCTGCCCGTGCGCATACCCTCTGGAGGCTGTGTACAGTGCCGTGAGCCTGCAGGATGAACGCCGGGGCCGCAGCTTCCAGTGGCGGGATGCCAGTGGCCCACGGGAGCGCCTGGACATCTACCAGCCCACCGCACGCTTCTGCCTTCGCTCCGTGCTATCAGGCGAGAGCAGCACGCTGGCCGCCCAGCACTGCTGCTATGACGAAGGTAGCCGCTTGCTGACCCGAGGCAAGGGGGCTGGAGCTCCGGACCTTGTCAGCACCGACTTTTCACCGGAACTGCACTTCAAGGTAGATACGCTGCCCTGGATCCTATGTAAGGGGGACTGGAGTCGCTACCACACCGTCCGCCCCCCCAACAACGGCCGGGCCTGCGCAGACAACCCACCGGAGGAAGAGTACCTGGCCCAGCTGCAGGAGGCCAAAGAGTACTGAAATGGGCTTAGAGAATGGTCCTTCTGCCTATTACCCCGTCCCTGTCGGGACTGGGCGAGTGTTAGGGTACATTTGAGAGGCCATCTGGCCTGCAAAACCCCTCTCGTGACCCTGAGTCAGGAAAACCCACGTATCTCAAGGATTGGTGAGAGGCTGGAGGGTGGGTCGGGGTGAGGGCCCCTGGGATGTGTTGGGACTGTGTCAGCATCTGAAGGGCAGGAACTGCCCTAGTCTGGCCTCGGGGCCCTTTCCCCTTTCTTGCAGAATTGGGCCCTTCTGCCTCTCCCTCTGCTCGGGATTGAGACGGGATGGTCCAGATACACCCAAGTTCCCAGAGTCTGTTGTGAATTCCTCAGATCCCCCACCCAATGGCTGGTTGAGGAAGAGCATGGTGGAGGAGGGTAAGAAAGGACAGTCATTTCAAGTGGCCCTACAGCTGCCCTTTGCTGGCCTGGCAGAACCAGGGTGACCACACAGCCTCGTCTACACTGGGTAGACTGCCCATGCTGTGAGGTCATCAGGGGCCTTGGCAGGACAGCTGAGCTGAGGGGCGTTGATTTGAGGCAGGGAACCACCAGCTGTTTCTGGTCCTTCTCCTTGGCTCAGTCCCCTGGTGGGAGGAATGTGCAGAAGCCAGGCATGGGACGGGCTCAGAACTAGGGGTGGGTTCAGGAGGGTTTTAGTGCCTGTAGTGGTTGCTAAACCAGGAATGTGATGGCACACAGTCCCAGTGTTCGATGTGGGCCCTTTTGTGGTGTCCATACCCACACCAGTGGCCCCCTTAAAGTTCCCACACGGCGCCACTGGAAGCCGTGGAACTGGACTTGGAGTCGGAAGATGCACACCTACCTATGCCTCTTCCCAACCACATCTTATCCCCCAGACAGTCACTCGTCTCTGTCTTCTCTGGAGCTGAAATGTTGAAGACCCAATGTTTTGTCTCCATTCCTAAATCCTCCAGAAAGGATGCACGGGGCTTGAGTTCCAGCCTTCCACAGCTGTCCAGATGCTGTCATGGGACACTCAGGAATAAAGCACTTTATTTTCACGCACTGTTTGATAAAGGACTTGGGGCCTGGCAGAATGGAGGGCATAGAGGGCACAGAGGCCCTTGCTTATCACCCAGGTCAAGCTCCCATTGGCTGGGCTTGTGATCGCCAAGCCCCCAGCCAGCCTTTCCTTTTCCTAAAAGCAGCCTTCGGGGTTCCCTGAATGCAGAGACTACACTCTAACCATTAGTTATCCCGGCTCACACCCAGAAAGGGCCACCTTCGAGCCTGTCTAGGAGCTGGCTGGTCCCAGAGGCACAGAACTCCAAATCTGTGACATACAGGCAAACTTCATTTACTCTATAGGGAAATGGCACCAAGGCTCCAAGAGATGGGCTTGGCGGGGCAGGGGATCCAACCTGAAAGGAAAGGTGTATCTGTGCTTTCCCTTAGCCTGCACCCTTATCAGACACCCCACTGTCATCCCTGACATTCAGGGGAAGGGCAGAGTATGGCAGGGTTTATCTTAGTCTGGATCTAAACAACAGTCTAAATCTGTTCTGGTGCAAAAAGAATATTAGCGGTAGGAACAGAGGATCTCGAGTTGTCAGGTAGGAGCCAGGTTCACTCCTTTTCTGTTCTTTTGTTTTGTTTTTCAAGACTTTTTATTTTTTTATTTTTTGTAGCTTTGGAACCTGTCCTGGAAGTAGCTCTTGTAGACCAGGCTGGCCTCGAACTCACAGAGATCCGCCTGCCTCTGCCTCTCGAGTGCTGGGATTAAAGGTGTGCAACAACACCACCACTTGGCTTCCTTTTCTGTTTTGAGGGATTCAGTGTGTGTCTATAATCCTAGCCCTGGTGAGGCTGACAGGGAGGTTATGAGTTTGTTGTTTGTTTGGTTTTTGGTTTTTTGAGACAGGGTTTCTCTGTGTAGCCCTGGCTGTTCTGGAACTAACTCTGTAGACCAGGCTGGCCTTGAACTCACATAGATCTGCTTGCCTCTGCCTCTTGAGTGCTGGGATTAAAGGTGTTTGTCACCACCTGGCTGGGTTATGAATTTTATTTTAATTTTTTTTAATTATTATTTTGGGGTGGCGTTGAGATGGGATTTCTCTGTAGCTTTGGAGCCTGTCCTGGAACTCACTTTGTAGACCAGGCTGGTCTTGAACTCAGAGATTTGCCTCTCTCTGCTTCCTGAGTGCTGGAATTAAAGGCATGTGCCACCACCGCCTAGCTTTGGGTTATGAATTTTAGACTATATCCCTGTCTGTATATACATCAGAGTAACTTATCAACTGTCTGCCAGTTGAATAGATCCAGGAGGTAGAGATATTAACTCTTCATGTTCTGATAAAATCCTCCCCTTGGGGACCAAGAGCAAGTCCACCCTGGAGAAGGTAGACTGCTGTTGGTCATTTAAGAGCCCGAAAGGACTGGCCGAGCAGGTGTCCCTGTGCTGAGAGGACCCTTCCCCACTCTGCCCAAGGTCCTTCTGCAGCAAAGTGTGGTTAACAGGCCTAGAAATGCTGGGAGCAGGCTCAGGGGGGGAAAGGTGGCAGAGCAGCTGAAAATATGGGTGGCCGGGAGAGCAGCTTGGGTTACATGGAGACTCTGTCCCCCCCCCCATCCCCTGCCCCGAGAAAAAAATAAAAACCAAAACAATAGATCCTGGGGCACCTGCCTCGCGTGCATGAAACTCTGGATTCAAGCCCCATTAACAAACACTCAAGGCTCATGACCATTTTGTTTGTCTCGGACTTGGGTCTTGCTGGCTTGCCCAGGCTGGCCTTCAGCTCCTGAGCTCAAGTGGTCCTCCTCTTCCAGCCTGAGCTTAGCTGGGGCTGCAGGCAGGTCTGCCACCTTCTGCTCGTTTTAATTAGGTTTTAGCAGACACTTTAAAGAACAAAGTAGACACGCCCCAGCGTCTCTCCACAGGCTCTGTCAATTGCGCTCCTTTCTAGTGTTTATCTCGGCCCTTAACCATCAGCAACGTTTAATCAGTTCTCGGTGGTTGTCTGTTGGACTCCGAATGCCAAGCTAAACGGCTGCCACGCCAAGTCCCAGGCAAGAGAAAACAAAGACAGGAAAGAGGGGTTGTTGGGAGGCTCGCAGGGGGAGTAGCCCATCAGCTATGAATTAAAAGTTTATTAAGTTCTGCAGAGGAGCAAGGGACCCTGTGCAGGTGGCTACAGGCTGAGGGAACACCTGTGCAGGGGAAAAAGCACCACCGGTGGTGGTGGAGTAACTGAACCTCTCACAGGACAGTTTAGGAGTGGCTAGGGTCAGATCCTGGAGGCCCTGAAATCAGAGAAGGCCCTTCCTCGCCGGCTCAGCCTCAAGTCACGCACCTTTCTGCCTCAGCCAGCCGTGAGCCCAGCAAGACCACGAACTCCGTGAATACTGCCACTGTGTAGCCCCAGCCACCGAGCTCCTTTTGTTCCCGCTTCTCTCTGTGGTTTGCTTCACGCGGGCCCCAAGGCTGGGCAAGGCAGATGAAGTTGGAAAAAGCCAGCAGCACGGAAGTAGGATGCTTCAAAGCTTGCCGAGAACCAGATGTGCTTCCTGCTTCCTCTGCTACAGGTAGATTTTCTTTTTCATGTTTGAAATGCTTCTAAAAATGCCACCCTAACCCTAGGTTTATTTAAGACACGAAAGCGTAAACGTGTGGGCCACATATCTACACTTAAAAAAATCAAAAGAATCTCTACAGAGTTGAAGTCTGAGATTCTGTGTTGAACGGGTTCCCCCAGGTGACCCTTAGGTATGGAAAGCCATTGTTCTGGGGACTGCAATTTGAACTAAACCAGTATGTCATACTATCAGTTTTGTTTGTTTGAGACAGGGTTTCTTTGTGTAGCTCTGGCTGTCCTGGAACTCCCTCTGTAGACCAGGCTGGCCTTCTGTGTGCTGGGATTGAACTGGCCCATAGTATTAATTTTGATTTAAGGGAAAATACCTGAGGTTGAGCGTGAGTCCAGAAGCCAGCAGCCACTAGGTGTTGCCAAGAGCATCCTTATTTAGTTGGTTTTTAAAGACAGAGTCCCTTCTGTAGCTAGCTCAGGTTAACCTTTAGCTACTTATTCTCTACACAGACCTGAGACCAGTGTGACCAGGGCTTGTTATGGTTGATCCTTCTGCCTCTGCCTCCTGAGAGCTGAGATTATAAGTGCACGCCATCACACCCCACCTACCTGTGTGGTCTCACAAGATACCTGTTAGTCCTCCCCCCCCCCCCCCTTCTTTTTTTTTCTCTGTAGCTTGGAGCCTGTCCTGGATCTCGGGTCTTGTAAACCAGGCTGGCCTCTACCTCCTAAGTGCTGGGATTAAAGGCATGCACCACCACCGTCCGGCTTTAGGTCCATTTTTTTAAAATATTTATTTATTTATTTATTATGCATACAATATTATGTCTGTGTGTATGTCTGCAGGCCAGAAGAGGGCACCAGACCTCATTCCAGATGGTTGTGAGCCACCATGTGGTTGCCGGGAATTGAACTCAAGACCTTTGGAAGAGCAGGCAATGCTCTTAACCACTGAGCCATCTCTCCAGCCCCTTTAGGTCCATTTTTATAGACAAGGACATTTGCCATGTTGACTAGGAAAAGTCCATGGTTTTAGTTTTGACTATGGACATCTTGGGATCCGAAGGCTGTTTCCTGTGATAGTGGCTGACTGGGGCTGTCACCCAACAGGCACACTGGTGTGTTGTATTTTACTAAGGTGTCATCATCACTTCACATCTTTCTCTGCTGAGACAGAGGAGGCAGGGCTCCAGCTTTTTGTGTTGTATTAGAAAGGGCTCACTTCAGGCAGAGGTGACGCACACCTTTAATCCCAGTACTTGGGAGGCAGAGGACCAGCCTGGTCTAGAGAGTTCCAGGACAGCCAGGACTGTATAGTTTCACAGAGAAACCCTGTCTCAAAAAACAAACAAAACAAAATAGACTCACCGATTTAAGGAGGGGTCCAAGGTCTCTGTCAAGTGCGATGCCAGATAAGTCTAGCACTTATCTGAGTAATTCAGGATGATCTGATATTAGCTTTAAGATTTTGCCAAGCCGGGCGATGGTGGCCAGCACTCTGGAGGCAGAGGCAGGTGGATCTCTGTGAGTTCGAGACCAACCTGGTCTACAGAGCTAGTTCCAGGACAGGCTCCAAAGCCACAGAGAAACAAAACAAAAAGATTTTGCCAAGTCATATAAGATTAGCTCGCAGGCCTCATCACTGCATGGGGAGTAGACGATTTACAGAGCTCTGAGTCATGCTGGACTGTGGGTAAGCTGAGGCAGTTCTCTTTTCCGCCACGTGGACCCCACTAGAAAGGACGCCCACCCAGCACTTGGCCTACAGCTCAGCACACCTATACTCCCAAAAGGACACTGATATCTTCCTCTTTTCTGGGTGAAATTCTACTCAAGGGATATTTAACATACTGGATACACTGAATTCTCTGGGGATGAACACGGCAAGACAGTAGACACAAGGTTAGCACTAGCTCTGGATTGTAGTCTGCATTACAAATCCCAGCCGTGTTCAGTACTGGTTGTTGGATTTGGACTGTTTTTTTTTGGGGGGGGGGGTTTCGAGACAGGGTTTCTTTGTAGCTTTGGAGCCTGTCCTGGAACTAGCTCTTGTAGATCAGGCTGGTCTTGAATTCAGAGATCCGCCTGCCTCTGCCTCCCAAGTGCTGGAATTAAAGGCCTGCACCACCACTGCCCAGCTTGGATTTGGACTCTTAAGCTAAGCCAGAGGCAAGTATATGCTAACATACATTAAAAGGATCACGTGGCAGCATGCCTCTAGTTCAAGGCCAGCCTGTGTTATACAGCAATATCCTGCCTCACTACTAAAACAAAAAGGAAAAAAAAAATTCAAAGATTAAGTCTTATGAAACGAGTGACAGGGCTCTCACAAGGCTTTACGGAGGCTAGACAATGAAAGCATACTGTTATGTATTGGACACAGTAGCTCTCTATAAAGCCACCACTGGTCACCTTCGTCTCTATATACAACCCGCACCTGTGGCCATCTCCTAGGAGAGGGATCAGAGCCCAAGACCCGTCTCCACCTTCTTGGTACCCACTCCCTGCCATGTGGGTGCTGGGAATTGAACTCAGGTTCCCTGCAAGAATAGCCAGCATTCTTAACCACTGAGTCATTTCTGCAGCCCCACAACTTTTTCAAGATGGGGTCTCATATAGCCCAGGCTAGCCTTGAACTCCTAATCCTGCTTCACCTCCTGAGTACTAGGATTACAGGAGTATACTATAGCACCCAGCTCTTTTTGCAGAATGGAGGCTTCAAACCACTTGTATTTGTTCAAATTCAAAGCCTTCAAGGAACTCAACACGAGGCTCCCAGTAAACACCAATTGTAAGAAATGCCTGCTTTTAAAATTCTGTTTATTTAGCGTATGTACACATAAAAGAGAACTCACCCTTGGATCCCACCCAGCAGAAAACATGCACAAACCCAAGGTGTATGTGGAAGGGGGACCCCAGCCCCAAGTTAGCAGCTGGGATGGTGCAATCCTGTGATCACAAG